GCGGCGTCCAAGCGCGCGCGCACGGCGTACACGAGCGCGCAGCTGGTGGAGCTGGAGAAGGAGTTCCACTTCAACCGCTACCTGTGCCGGCCGCGCCGCGTGGAGATGGCCAACCTGCTGAACCTCAGCGAGCGCCAGATCAAGATCTGGTTCCAGAACCGGCGCATGAAGTACAAGAAGGACCAGAAGGCCAAGGGGCTGGCCTCTTCCTCCGGGGGCCCCTCTCCCGCCGGGAGCCCCCCGCAGCCCATGCAGTCCACGGCCGGCTTCATGAACGCCTTACACTCCATGACCCCGAGCTACGACAGCCCGTCCCCGCCCGCCTTCGGCAAAGCCCACCAGAATGCCTACGCGCTGCCCTCCAGCTACCAGCCCCCGCTCAAGGGCTGCGGCGCCCCGCAGAAGTACGCCCCGACCCCGGTGCCGGAGTACGAGCCCCACGTGCTGCAGGCCAACGGGGGCGCCTACGCCACGCCCGCCCTGCAGGGCAGCCCCGTGTACGTGGGCGGGGGCGGCTACGCGGATCCGCTGCCGCCCCCTGCCGGGCCCTCCCTCTACGGCCTCAACCACCTCTCCCACCACCCCTCGGGGAACCTGGACTACAACGGGGCGCCCCCGATGGCCCCCAGTCAACACCACGGGCCCTGCGACCCGCACCCTACCTACACAGACCTCTCCTCTCACCACGCGCCTCCTCCTCAGGGTAGAATCCAAGAAGCGCCCAAATTAACACACCTGTGATGCGTGCGAGGGGTAGGTCAAGGGCGGGGCAAGCCCCCCACCCGCTGAGCTCTGGGGGGGACGCAGGGAGGGGAGCGCCAGGGCCCTGAGGCCTGGGGCTCCTTCCCTCCCCCCTAGCCAGAGGGGCTGCTTTTCAGTCCTCCAGCCCCCAGTTCCATCTGCCTGCCAACCCTTCGGGAAGGAATTCACAGCAGATTGGATCTGACCCCCAGGAGCTCCAGGGCACCGGCGCTACCAAGTTGGAATTCCTTGCTGGAGAGGGTTAGGGTAGAGGAGAGCGAGCTACCACGAGCTAGGCCAGGCAGAGAAGCACAGTCAAACAGACAAAAAAAGATGGTTAGGCAGGCCACCACCAGCCGAACAACTTACCTTTTATCTCTGTGGGTTATCCCCAACTCTTGATAGTTCCCCCTCTCATTCTCCTTGAGAAAACAAAAACACATTGAAACCCAAGGGCACAAAGCACGTCCCCGCCCGCTTCCCTGAAGTCTCGCTTGGCTCTGCCTGAGGGTCCTCGGGCCAAGGCTCCCATTTCCAGATTTCCCGCCCCACCACACACCTACGCCTCACCCAGGTCAGTGACAGTTTTCAGAGGGCTCAGGGATGGTGACAGATCCTGAAAGGCAGAGCTGCCTAGAGTATAAATATATATATTTTTTCTTTGAAGGAAAAGTTAGGAGGCCGAGGCAGGCAAGGACTGAAGTGTGGCTTGCTCTGGGCCCCTCATCTGAACTCCTGGTCTATCTTTCATCCCCCTCTCTCTGCAGAAAGCAATCAGCCACATGAATTTTTTCCACTTTTCTTCTGTTGCTCTCTTGACAACGTGAAAACAGGGTATATTTGAACAAACTGTTTGTCCCAGGCAGGGGCTGCAGCGGGGCCTGCGGGCCTCGCTCAGCCTGCTGACGGACACTTTTGTTGCACTTAGAGTTTACATTTTAATGGATATAAAAACAACTGTGAGAGATGTCTGGGCCGGTAGGAGCCTAGCATTGCTCAAAAAGCGTGTGTTCTGGTGAACATTTTCATATATATTTATTGGTTATAGCCTGTTAAAATATTTTCTTTTTGTATTATTTATCCTCCCTACATTATGTATTTATATGAGGAAGAAAGGAAGAAATTGTACTTTTTTAGTATTTACTTGTTATAAAGGACGTTGTGTTTCCTGTCATGTAAAACCAGCTATTTTAGTTTTCTTGTACTCTAGAAAGAGCTGTAGATTTATGTTAACCTCGTACTTATGAGCGATTGTAATTAGTTCTAAAAGGCATGAAACTCAGCTCCTAATCATCACTGTACAGACCTGAATTTGTAGAGTTAGTTAATTCCCTCTTGGACCTTTCTTTGTTATTCCGTAGTTACTTTTTTCCTTACTTAAAAGGGTTGTCTGTCAAACAATTCTTGAATAAACTTTCTGTTATCAATTTTATCTTGTCCTGGTGGTCCAATTGAGAAGGTAGGGCTAGGCCAGGCTCCTGAATGCCAGATTTGCCCCTAGGGAAGGAAAACATCACAGACCCTCTCTGGCCTTTCTGTCCACCTCCCAGGTCCCCATCTGTCCTTTGATATTTTGGGGGTTGAAATACAGGGATTATTTAAAAATCACTCATAGGAGCCAGCACCCTTGTGCCAACTTCCTTGGCTAAGACTGAAGTGAGGAGTTGGGGGTGGGAAGAGGGCTCTTTGGTACCTCGGGTCTGTCTGTCTAGCTTTTTGCCTCTCCCTTTTTCTCATTGCTTGGGTTTTGGTCTGGTTCCTTCATTGGCTATAACCTCTGTTGCGCCACCCTCCCACCCAAATCAAAGCAAAACAAAACAAAAATCTGGCTGATTACTATTTCTTCTAAGCGAAACTTCACAGTCTGCTTCCGGAGCCACAAAGAAGTCGTCACGTGACCTGAAGCCCAACCACCATTGGGTCTAAAATGAAAACAAAGGAAAATGATTAATCTTAAAAGAAAGAAAGAAAATCTGACGCCTAGGCCTCTCGGGTTAAACCTTAAAAGTAAAGTGAAATTAAATCACTAAATAAAGCTTGAGGGCAGAGGGAGAGGGGGATTTTGAATGCCTTTGCCAGGGAAAGAGGAAGAGAGTAGAGGAGAAAACGTTGGTTCCAAACGTAAATAAAATGGTCCCCAGGCTAATGTGCGGCGCTGTCTCCAGGATCCTTGGGAAAACTTCATTTCTTAGTCTCGCTTCCATAAAAGTTTCATCGCACTGGAGCAAGGGTAGAGAGGGTCTGTCAAAGATGAAATGTCACCACCGTGTCGCTGGAGCCGATAAGAGCAAGGAGACAGGGTGGCTGAAATATGGAGCTAATTCGTTGAAAGAGAAGCGATGGCTGCTTGCTCGAGAGTTGCATAATTCTAATTGTAAGCGATGCACCCGCATGGCTTAATTAGGAGCATATATTTGGTGAGGGTGGGGTGGGGGGTGTTTGAGAATCAATCCTGGCCCTCAGCCTTAAAGCGAAAGCTGATTTTCATTTTTATGTTGCATCCTGGCAATCCAAGGTTAGTAATTACAGTCTTTATGCAACAATAAATAACAATAAAAAAGCAACCTGAATTCTGCACACACACACACACACCCTCCAGAAGGATTTTTAACTGGACTGGGTTCATCCAGGCAGCAAGCAATTTAGCATTGGGTCAGGCTATAATTTAAAGGCAGAAGAGCGTGCAAAGTTTGATTGGGATCAAATAACGCTCAAGGGTCTTTCTTTCTCTTCTCTGAATAACATTTTCTGAATGATGTAACTCTATGAAGCCCCAGGTTTGGCTCTGGGGGTGGGATGGGTCGCTTATTTATCTAGCTGCAGAGAGATGGGCAGGCCAAGAGAGAATTTAGCTAGAAGGAGAAAAGGAGGGCTTGGGCTTGCGGCTGGGGTTGCAAATAAAAAGACCAATTTGGCCTGGTGTCCCCTTCCCTTCCCTCTGCGAGATTCCAAGCGCTCAGAGCAGAAAGACTTGGGTAACGTGTCTGTGCTCCCTAATTCCCAGCACAACAGGGGGGCGGGAGCGGGTTGTCCCGGGTAAGGAGGGCTCTCCCAGCCCCTTTAACACCCAAGTTTTCCGCTCTTCACTAATCTGGCCATAAAATCTGTCAGCGAGGACTAGAGAGCAGTATTTTGTGCCAGGTCCGTCTGGGCCCAGGGTGCCTAGTGGAGCCCTGGATCCTGCTCGCCACCAGCTGCAGTGGTCGTTTGAAAACCTGCAGAGGTGACCACGGGACCAGCAGGCGAGAGAACGCTCCCAGGCCTCCCTGCACAATTTGCAGGCAGCCACTCTTTAGCGTCTGCCCTGCCCACCCCCTCCACACCTCCAAGGGACAAAAATGGTTTTCTACTGGCCCAGCTCCTCGCAGCTCTCGGCCATCCGAGCCCCCCTGAGCCTGCAGCCCCCACCCCCAGCTCCCTCGATCCAGCCGGCTGTTCTCCACCCCCACCCTTCTCCTCTGGCTTCTCTGCCCTCCTTTTTAAATACTCACCGCCACCCACGCGGATGTTACATTGACAGAAAGTTTCTAGCTCCAGCTCCAGGCTGAGATGCCATTTCCCTGCTAAGCAGCCTTCTCCCGGCTGGGCGACAGGGAGCGGGGAGGGGGAGGGGAGGCCCGAGCCGTGGGAGTTCTCCGGGCAAACTTTCCACCCAACTCAGCGCCTTCCCTCTGTCCCCATTTCCCATCTGTTTCCCGGCTCTCCCAGAATCACCTTTCTCTTTTGCCACCCCCTCCCTCAGGCCTTTTTAAGGGATGCGGAATTTCGGCTGTTCCTTCTGCTTTCCCAAAGAGCCGAATTCTTTGATGCAATCGGAGGGAGCTGTCAGGGGGCTAAGATTGATCGCCTCATCTCCGCTCCGTCCCTCTGACCCATTTATTTAAAAATCTTCCCCCCATCGACTTTTCATTTTCTGCTTTGAGGCCTAGTTTCCCATCAATTGCTTGTGGCTGGATCTTTGCCTCCTCCTCTAGCAAATTATAGCATTCACTAAAGTTCAGACTGTCTTGGGCCCCTCAAAATAAAATAAACAAACATTTTCTCCCAGAGGCCAGAAAATAGAACACTGTCCTAGTGGTTATTATTTCCACTCCCGCCTTCCTCAGGGAATTCTTTCTTAGCAGGCTGCATGTTCTTTAGACTAATCACAGGGAGAATATTTTTTTTGTCCGGGGGAGGGGATCCCCTTCCTGCATATTGACCTGAGGTCTGAGAATTAAATCCAGGGTTACTTTGGTTCTTGTTTACACTCCTGTGTAGAGACGCGCACATAAGGCTGGAGTGGGCACATCTGCATTGCAAACCCTCCTGTCCTATTGGGGTGCAGGCGTCACAGAAAGGCAGGTGGACAGTTCCTGGGGCTGTGTTGTCAACACTGGCAGAGGAGGGACGCCAGGCCACAGGCCATGCAGGCCAGCGGGGCCCCAACGTGCCACTCACCCTCTATCTAGCTCACTCCTCTGAGGCGGTCTGCAAGTGCCTGTCCACTTTCTCCAAGATTTAACTGAAGCTTTTAGGGGCTGAGATGCACTGGAGGAGCTGCTGGCTGTAAATCCCTTCTTTGCCTTATCTGTAGCTTAACTGGGGCCCTCCCCAAGGGGTGGAAGCCTCTCCTCTCGCCTCCCTCTTCCTCCCGCGCAAGGAGATACTCATCTTTCTTGTGGGGAGTGGGAGAGAGGATATTGCCGGCCATGCAAAGAAAGCATTCATTTACTCTATGAAAATTTTCGGGAATGGGGCTATTGCTTCCCAGGATTCAGCCGTTTGCCAGGGTCCCACAACCTCCCATGCTGGGAAGAAAAGGAGGAAGAGGTTGGCCCAGCTTTTCAGAAGGGTAGTTGTGTGGCAAAGAGGATGTGTAGGACTGCTCTAGGAACGGGGGCTACTCGGGTCCTGGGCCTCTGGAGTTTTTGCATCAATTAAAGCAAATAATGCTCTCTGTTTTCCAGCAGACCTAGACAAGCGATTGGCGGAGGCCAGTCTCGTGACCACGAATTCCCTGCAATTTCGCTGGAGTCCTGGGCTTAATAGAGAGAGTCCCCATACGCTTGTATTTATCAGCAATATATAATAATAAAGGCTCAATTTTTTAAAAAAAAAAAAGAGCAAGAGAGAGCGAGAGCAAAATCTCCCCCTCCCAAAATCGCTCCACTGCAGAAACCTGGGGGGGGCAGGAGGGGGGGTCCCTTCCGATCCTCCCTCCTGGCGCCCCCCCAGCAGCCCCCTCCCCCACCACTGAAAGCCATGAATTTTGAATTTGAGAGGGAGATTGGTTTTATAAACAGCCAGCCATCGCTCGCCGAGTGTCTGACTTCCTTCCCCGCTGTCTTGGAGACATTTCAAACTTCATCAATCAAGGAGTCGACATTAATTCCTCCTCCTCCTCCTTGTGAGCAAACCTTCCCCAGCCTCCAGTCCAGCGCCTCCACCCTTCAGAGACCCGGGAGCCAAAAGCGAGCCGAAGATGGGCCTGCTCGACCGCCACCCACGCAGCCCCCGCCGCCTGTCCCCGCTGCATCCCCGGCCCCCGAGTTCCCCTGGATGAAAGAGAAGAAATCCACCAAGAAACCCAGCCAACCCGCCTCGTCGCCGGCCCCGGCCGCAGCCTCTGTCCCGGCCTCCGGGGTTGGCTCGCCCGCAGGTCGGTGAGCGCTGTGGGGTGCGGCGTGGGGGCGGCTGGAGAGGGGTTGAAAGAGCGGTGGGGGTGCAAAAAAGGTGGCCAGCCTGCTGGGGTTTCCTAGTGGATGTATCCCCGGGATGGGGAGGCAGAATGTCCCGCTGGGGTTCAGGCCTGGCCGCGGCCAGCGTTTTTCCTCTCTCCCATAGCGGATTTTGGAAGGTAGTTCGGGGAAACGCTTTCTGTGTGCTAGCCGAAAGGGACTCGATCGAGGTCTCTAACCAGCCTCTTCGTAACAGAATGAGTGTTGTTGCTGGAATTGAATCTGGGGTGTAGGAAAAATGCGATCCTCCGCCCTTTCCAACCTCTAGAAGAGGGGGGCATTTACAGCTAGTAAGGAAAAGGGGTGAGGCGCTGTCTCCGTGAACCCACTCTCCGGGTTGAATGGGAAAGTTCCGAATTGAGGGGTCTACTGGGAGGACTTGGAAGGGGGTCCCTAGGGTTCTGGGAGCGAGAAGGAGCGGCTCCTCACCCCGTGGTTGCCCATGGGCGGCTCTGAATGCTTTGCCCTGACTGGAACCCAATCTGCCAGCAAAAGAGGGGGCGGAAAGGACCGAAAAGCAGAGGGGCGCGCCACTTGGGCGGGGGTGGAGCGCGAGCAAGCAAGTCTGCCGATGCTATTTTTTTGGCGGCGGTGTGGTCTCCACCGTTGGGCTGGGACCACGGCCCTCTGTGCCTGACGCCAGGTCTGCTTTCCCTGCAGATGGGCCCGGACTGGCTGAGGGCGGCGGCGGCAGCAGCGGGGCGCGCAGGTTGCGCACGGCGTATACCAACACGCAGCTGCTGGAGCTGGAGAAGGAATTCCACTTTAACAAGTATCTGTGCCGGCCGCGCCGCGTCGAGATCGCAGCCCTGCTGGACCTCACCGAAAGGCAGGTCAAAGTCTGGTTCCAGAACCGGCGCATGAAGCACAAGCGGCAGACGCAGCAGCGAGAGCCGCCCGACGGGGATCCCGCTTGCCTGGGAGCGCTGGAGGACGCCGGCGATGCCGCCGAGGAAGCCGCATCCAGCCCAGGCGGCCCCTCCGCCTCCCGGGGGGCGCTGGACGTTCGACTGGGCTCGGCTCAGATCGCGCCGGGACTCCCAGGGGTGCCGGGCCCCGGGCCGGAGGCTGCGGGGACGCCGAGCCCCGAGTGCGCGCTGCGCAGAGGCGGCGCGCTGGACACCGAGCCTTCGCTCGAAGACGGCTTCCTGGAGCGCCAGGACTCGCCTTTCCTGCCCGACCTCAGCTTCTTCGCCGCAGACTCCTGCCTGCAACTGTCCGGGGAAGGCCTCTCGCCCCCGGCGCAGGGCTCGCTGCACAGCCCGGTCCCTTTCTCCGAGGAGGAGCTGGACTTCTTCACCAGCTCGCTGTGCGCCATCGATGTGCAGTTTCCCTGACGCGCGCGTCCTCCCAGCGTCCCGGCCCGCGCTCCGGGCGGCCGCGGGGAGAACCAGCCTTCTGCACCCCCAGTCGCATTTACTTATGTTTTTACTAAACATCCAGGTACTACTGAATTAGCGTTTCATCCACTCCTTACTTCGTTATTTTCAAATCACGCAAAAGAAAAAAAAAGAATTCCGTTTGGTAGAATCCTTGCAACGAAATCTCAGGAATGATTAAACTCGGGGGGAGGGGCTTTCTTAAAACCAGAGGGGCCTTTTTTCCTTTTTTTTAGTTTTAGGCCGTAGATTATTTATTAAAATTATTTAATAATAGAAAAAGGGGAAAGTATTTATTGTACATTATTTTCATAGGTTAAATAAATGTCTTTATAACACGAAATGAGTGTTTGTATCGGCCGCGGCCCTTTCCCCGCCCGGCTCCAGGCGACGAGCGGGCGGCCTCCTCTGCGGAAGGGCGCGGGGGCTCGCCCTGGGCCCGTGCCCAGGCGGGTGACCTAGGCGTCGCGCGGATGCTGGGGCCTCTGCTTAGAAATACAGGGCTCCTGGCGGGAAGAGGGTGTGTCGGGGACAGGACGCGAGGCCTGGGCAGGATTCCGAGCGCCGGCTGCACGAGGGGGCCGGACCGCCCAGCTCCTGGCGGCAGCGCCCACAGCGTGGAGCGGGCCCGGAGACGCCAGGCCACGGGCTGCGCAGGGGTCCGGGGTGTCGCCGGGCGACCGAGGATGGAGAGCAGTACCCCAGCGGGCCGACGCTAGGCCCGCGGAGAGCCGGGGAGACTCCAGGCCGCGAGAAACAGGAGGTCGGGAGGACGGCGTCAAGATGGCGGCGGCGCGGCCGGGAGGACGCTGCGTCGGCGGCCATGACAGCGGCGCGCGCACCGGCCGCCCCGCCCCCACCCC